ATCACAGGCTCATGGTTTGTTGCTTCTTGCTTCATGGGCAGCTACGTGGCATCTGCCTGACTCTACCTTTTCTCCTTCTCTATCTCTGCTTGGATTTTTCATCTTGCTATGTACTGCCCTGACAAAGGCAAAGCAACTTCTCTATTAACCAATTGCAATAAAACATATTCACAGTATACAGAGGGAAATCCCTCATCACCATTCCTAACCTTTGAAGTACCCAAAAGGATGATGGAGCTCCACAACAATTCCACCTCGATTGTGGTAACACCACTAAGCTGACAAATGCCACCCACCCAGAGATCAATTCTGGACTACAAACTACTCAGGACAGTTTCAAGGTAGCTAACTGAGATGGTTCAGCTTCACAGACTACTCCAGCTAGGACTTCAGATAAGCCCTACATTTTCCTGTTAAACAGAGACCGGCATTAAATGATACAGCTAGCTCTCCCAGGACTTGACCCATTATCTCAGTTTTCTCAGGGTCCCCTAGAGATGCCATTGCCTGCTCCCAGACAACAGGAACCAGTCTACAGAACACGATACCCACATTCCCAAGATATGGGGTGGATGGTTTGGGTCATTCAGTGGGTTATAGATATTTATCATCATTGAGTGGCTTGGTTACAAGTTGTTATTGGTAATAGTCAGGAAAAAAAGCTGAGCAAAGGAGATTAGATTCAGAGATCTCATTCTGAAAAAAAAAGGAGGGGATATAAAAATGATAGGATAAAGGGTAGACTGTTGCACTAAGCAACTTCTAGACCTAAATATTGTACATTGGTTTGGATTTTTGTATATTGATACAAATTTAAGGTTATTTTTGTTATACTGTATATATGTTTCTACTCTTGTTTAACGTATTCTTGTACATAAATATAAATTTAAGGTTTTTTTTCTAGAATATACTGTACCTATGTTTTTACTCTTGTTTAAGGTATTACACCTATGCATGTCATTTAACAATGTAATGTAAATTTTAGTCTTTGAATAATAAATGCATGTTAGTAGTTATTCACCTAAAACAATCAAGCTTGTATTCATGTTAGGTATGTTTTCAAGGTCAAACAGATATCTTTTAGATAGACAAGTGGTCTTCAGACACTTCAGAGATCTACAGAATATGGCATTTAAGATATTTTGATAACATAAGCTTTTTATGACAATGAGACACATCTACTCCCAACAGCACCAATGTACTTCAGAGAAGATGATGGGCATTGAAGAAATTCCAAATAGAGTTTGCTTTCTTTGTAGCAAAAGTTAGTCACTGGGCAAGAAACTGCTCTTTCCTTGACTGCTGACAGAATTCTGTCCAAATTGGACAAGCAGGACACAAAATAAAGCGACTGCTAAACTTTACCAAGACAAAGTGGGTCAGTCCTTCAAAATTCCTGCATCACAAAAAAGTCTGTCAGGTATTCTAGACCTGTAGACTGAAGATGGATGCCCAATATTACAGAGGAACCTTGGGTGACTGTCCAGGCAGCCAGCTGTTTCTGTCATTTCTATAGTTTTAGAAGATGTTTGCTATGCACTTCCCATTTACTCAGGTAATATTATATCCTCAGGTCCCCAATAGGGTTGAAGATTAGATAATTATAGTTACAGTTTTCCTTATTATCAAATTCAGAAAAGAAACTCACTAAAGAGGTGTAAAGTGTATACGGTTGAAAGACATAAAAGCTTAAATTGTTTAGCTAAGAAAATGTTTGAGGTCTAAGAAAAATTATTTATAGATTGATAATGCAAGTTAGCATAATAAGTGAATTAGGTACAAAACCTTGGACTCACCAAAATAGGATAGATAATGGAGTATTTTCTCCAAATATGTCAAATAAAAATAGAGTGGACATTGTAAATTTAGTTCTTCCCTGATAATTGTTATTGTATATAGCTTTTATTTGTCATAGTTAAACCATTCCCTTTTTATTTAGACAAAAAAAAAAAGGGAAAATTTTGTGTGATATTTTGCTTGCATTCTGATGTTCCCAAGACTGCCAATAAAGTTTGCTTTAAGTCAGAGGGCAGAGCTAGCTACTAGCTGACCAAAATTAGCCATAGAGGTTTTGGAGGACTGAGGACAGATAGACACAAGAAGTAGTAGGGTGGGGCTTAGAGAGAGTCTTGGCCCTTTTTGAATTGAACAGGAAAGAGAGGAGGTCACTGGCTGCTTCTCCGCAACTTCTCTGATCATTCAGGTTATTACCACAATATCTGACTCCTGAGTATTTGTTGATAAAGAATAATTACATAAATGCTTCACCAGCCTGAGAAATTTACATTTTTATTTGTCTTCAGGTTATTGTATAAGGCCAGTCTGGAGAACTCTTTTTTAATACTTCTAGTAGGGCAGATATTAAACTTGGTTTTTAAATTTTTTGCTGTAAGTATCTAATTGCTCCTGCATGTCTGAAGGGCTGTTTGGCTGGCTGTAGAATTATTCTGTTCTCCTCTTTCTCATGGCATTGCAGCGTTTCATCCTGGCGCCATCTGGTCAACAAGGCTTCTGCCAAGTTTGCTAAAGGAGACAATTCTTGACATATGCTGAGCTTCTTTTGCCCCTTTCAAGATGCTCTGGTTTTGTCTTTCAACAGCTCAAGTGTAGGCCCTTGGGTGGACATCCTTGGGTTTATTCTACGTGGCATCAACTGAGCTTTTCATCTACTTGTCCTTATTCAGATTTGATGACTTTTTTTTTACATGTGAACTCACTGTCCCTTCTTCTCATCTTCATGAACCTTCATCACATGTATCTGGTCACCATAATGGTACCTCTCAAGCCCTTTAGATTGTTTCTGTATCTGTTTTTATTCATTCTTTATTCTTTTTACTCCTCACAATACTTTCAAATGTTTAAGTGTGCTTATTCTTTGTTTTCCATGTTAAAATTCTCTGTTACCCTCACCCATCCAACTTCAAAAAAAAAAGATTAAAAAGAGGAACATAACAAATGAACAAAATGGGAGTTCATTTTGTTATGTTCCTCTTTTTAATCTTTTTTTTTTTTTTGTCTCTCCCTTTTTTCCTGGCTTTTAAGACAGGTTTAAAGTTATGATTTTAAAATCACTGCCTGGGAACTCTAAGGCGTGCCTTCTCTTTTAGCATCCTTGTCCAGAGATGCAGTCTATTTCTTTGAATGAACCTCCTTTCCTCATTTCCTTGTATGCTTGTGGGTTTTGTTGAAAACTGAGAATTTGAACGAGCATCCAGACCTGTGCACTGACTCCATGTAGAAGACCCTCAGTGATCAAGCTGAGAGGCATAAAGCATGCGTTTCTTACAGATCTGTTTGCATAATACTTACAATTTTTCCACCTCCTGCCGTATACGTCACTCTTCTGACATTCTTTAATTTTTTTCCTAAGAGTTTTATTGGAAACTTCAATGTTCTGTTGTGTTCCTCTGCCCATTGCCTCTTATTCCTAGGTACCCATGAGTCCGACGTCTGCCTGTTAGACTTTTTCTGACACAATGCTCATTACTGCTTTCATCTTTCAACCTTTTCCAGCCCAAAGTCCTCCCATAGCCTCCCCCAAACACATGTTCAGGTCTGTCACAGCAATAGTTTACTCTTTGGTACAAATTTCTGTTTTGGTTAAGGTTTTTATTGCTGTGATAAAACACCATGCCATCGGCAACTTGGGGAGGAAAGAGTTTATTTTTCTTACACTCCCATATCACAGCCCACCGTAAAAGGAAGTCAGGACAGGACTCAGGCAGGGCAGGAATATGGAGATAGGAACTGATGCAGAGGCCAGTACGTGTTCAGCTTGCTTTCTTATACCATCTAGGACCACCAGCTCAAGGGTGGCACCACCTTCACAGCGAACTGGGCTTTCCCATGTCAATCATCCATCAGGAAATACCCTACAGGCCATTCTGGCGGAGCTACTTCTCAGTGATGTTCTTGCCTCTCATATGACCCTGACTTGTCGAGTTAGCATTAAACTAACCAGCATGGAAGGTAGTGTTCAATTTTGAAAACTAAACTAAAGTTAGAACAGTGGATGAAAAGTGCTTGTGCTTGCCACACAAGCATGAGGACCTGAGTTCAGATCCCCATCTCCCATGTAAATGCTGGGCACAGCCACACCCATCTGAACCCCAGCACTGAGGGAATGGAGACAGGCAGGTCTCTGGCACACTCTGGCCAGCCAGAGTGAATACCAGGTGAGCGCCAGGTGAAATGAGTGAGGCTGTCTCCAAAAACAGGTGGAGAGTGACTCAGGGAGATAGCTGATGTCAACTTCTGGCCTCCACACACCACTCGCGTGCACCCCACTGTACATGCACATGTACAACTAGAGCTGAATACCTACCCATGTGTAAATATGCACACACACACACATTTTTAAGTGCCTGCTAAGTTGGTACAATGTGTTCAGTATTCAGTAGCATCCAGTGATGCACACTTTGCAACACTATTTTGTGTACTTAACTCTTCAGTTAGTGAACCTTACCACTAAGAAACAGATATTCTAGTGGAGCTGATACTTAGGGTTATTGTTAGGTAGGGTTATTGTTTATAGCATATTAAAGAGAATGTGTGCTATGGGGGGGATCAGACATCAAGAAGAGGAAGGGAGAGTTGGCACTGTGGCATTCGAGTGGTCTGGTCTAAGGATCACTGTGACAAGTCTCTGCACCAATGTAACTGAGTCAAGAGTAGAGACTGTTGCTGTCTAGGGGAAGAACATTCCATCAGCGCACAGCAGGTAAAGGTAGGAGGCAGGAGCATGGTGACAGGCTGAAGAGGACCAGGGTAGACTTGAGTGACAGGAAGATGGGTTAGAGATTAAATTGGAGACTATTAGGGTTGGTATATTGCTCAAGTCCTTGTAAATAGCCAGCTCTTTGCGCTTCTCTCTGGGTAACAATGGGTGCCACGACATTTTCTAGCACAGAGCGGAGTCCTTCAACTTGCATTTTCAAAGGCTTGCCCGGGTCATTGTGCCCAAGTCTAAAGGGAGCTGGTGGTTGTTTCTGCCATCCTAGGTATACTACAGCTAACACTGACACAGAAGAACAGAGTTTCCCGGTCCCTCAGGCTTTCAACACACACATAGAGGAGCTGAAGCTGGATGTCCTCCTCCAGAAGGTAGACCGTTTGCGGATAAACGAGGCTAACAAAATGGAAAGTTTTGAGCTTCTGTGTGACCACAAAGAAAAGGTAAGTGCTGCATGGCACTACCGTGTCCTACCCGGCTCATACCGAACTCCAGTACCATGTCACAGTTCATAGGAACAGCATGTTTGATGTGTTTTTAATAAAACGAGTGATTTTTTTAAGATGGAATTTGAGCTAATTAGGTTTACCTAAGGTCACAAAAATAGGGACCAGCCTTATATGGTGTTACGTTGAGTTTATTAATTTCGATATGTAATGCATGTGTTATAACATGAAGCAATAAGACATTGTGCCCAGGCATGTCATACGTTCTCTGGAGAGAATAAAATTGTATTTGAAGTTTTCTATATTGCTATCAGTGTAGCACCTCTCAGTATTTTAAAGCTATTTCTACTAATAGTCATTCTGCAGTGTTTCACAATGGGCTTGAAGAACTGATTTGTCTCACCATCACCAATGACAAAGGGGAATGAATCTAAGGGCTCACGACAGCTCAAGGAGAAATAATATCTTTTTTGCCCGTGAGCAAGATAAGTCTAATCTGGGTATGAGGGTTTAGCAACTCCAGCACACTGTGTAAAACCCATGAATCCTAACTGATTAGCACATAATGTATAAGCATACCAAAAGACCAGTCTATGCTGCGTAAGGATCTGCAACACTTATTGTCAATAAAAGCTTTAAAATTTTTTAAAAATATCTACAATCATAATTAGTTAAGTAAAAATCATAATGTCTTTTTGAGTATATGTAGTTCAGTTTGCAAATATTACCTACAGTGCTCAGTAACCTATTCATTACACTGCAGTAGATAACTCACTAAGGATACTGAGAGCGCGGGCGCCCTGGAGACTGTGTCGGTTCCGTCCACTACACAGCTGGCTCTAGTTTCTGTTTAATATTATTTGATATATGATCCAAATGTAGCACTGTATCTGGTCATATTCCTTAGCCATAACATTTGGGTTTAAATGTTAAATATCCGTACGTATAAATTCAGTCATCTATAAATACCATTTTACCTGCCTAAATCTTTTAAGGTACAATGAAAGCAATTGTGTCAGTCTGGACAAATAAGTGTATTAATCTGGTGTGTGGTTCTGTCTTTCCAGTTTAGCGAGGAAATAGAGTTTCTGTGGAGACTTGCCCGTGCCTATGGAGACATGTATGACCTGTCTACCAATACACAAGAAAAGAAACATTATGCTAATATCGGTAAGTCATTTGTCAAGACGGGTTGTTCTCAGATGGCGTTGTTTTCCACAATAAATCATTAGTAGATTTTAATTCAAGTGAAATCATTTTAGTTAAAGACTCAATTTATTTCAAAATATTCTGGTGACCAAAAGCTGTACACAGTCTGAGAACAAAATGGCCTTCCTGGACTAAAGTGTATGTTCCTTTAAGATAATTGAGCTAATAATTTAGAGCAGGGAACTGAAAGACTCCGAGCTCACTTTTTAAAGTTTATGATGTCATGCACGGGAAGCTAAAACACCTGTGCTGGTATCCATGGTCTCCAGCTGTAGCGGCTCACAGTTACACTCACAACTCACTTCCTGTGGCATGCAGGTCTCGAAACACAGAAATAACCTCTCATGTCAGGAATTTCCAAAATGTGTGTGCATGAAACAAAATCAGCCTTGATGTGATGATTAGCTAAGACGAGTATATGCAGCCATAATGCTGCCATGTATATGGTTGGCTTATATTTGAAATTTCCACAGGAGCAACAGTCACGGTAAAAACCAAGGAGAATGTCAAACAATTGCTGTTGGTGGCTGTGTTGATGTCTCACTGGGTGTCAGAATGCTTTCTCGCAAAAGCCCCTGAGCTCCCATCTCTCTGAGCTTCAGACTAGTTGATGTCATGGCTGGTTTTTACTCTCCTTCTGTTCCAAAGCTTTCTCTTTTGCTGCCTTTTCTAAGATCATATGAGAAAGAAATAGCAGGCAAGAACCCCTCCAAATCTGGTTCCGGCATTTTTATTTCCATGAAGGACGTATCACCAGAATCTGTGTTGGTCTTTCTTCCTCTGGAAGATTTCCTTGCCAAGTGATCTCTGTACTTTAATTTCCCCCTCACTGGAGGAAGATGAGAAATTTCCCTCTTGTCCTGTTCATATTTATCCTCCACCTTCCTGGGGTCAATAGCAATCCAGTTGGCAGGAGATATACACGGTGGAGTTCTAGAAAAGAGATTAATTTCAAAGAAAAGAAATTTTCACCCAGAGTCTAGAAGGATTTATACTCATATCAGTGGGGGGCTGGGGGAATAAAGCGCATTGATATAAAAACTGTTTGACGTTCATCAGCAGTAGTGCATGTTTCTTAACACCTCCTTCTCTTGGATGTTCTGCTTGCAGATGAGACTAGGGGCGCAAAATAGATGGGGTCTCAGAATAGACTGAGGGGGGCCTCTGACTTTGCTGGGAAGGCAGTTTGTTCAAATAGCCGTGGATAAAGAGACCATCAGAGATGGGCTGTTGTTTTAGAAGAGTGTAGTGAGTTCAGAGTGTACAACCAAAGTCACTAGCAGAAACTAGTGGTTCATGTAGGGAGGTAACCATTCATTTAAAGTGAATGGGAGCTCGAGTGAGTTGTCTTAGTCTTAACTGTCAACTTGACACAGCTTAGAGTTGCCTGAGAAGGGAGTCTCGGTTGAGGGACGTCCTAGATCAGATTGGTTTGTGGCCATGTCTGTGGAGGGTTGTCTTGATTGATAACTGCTGCAGGCGGGCCCAGCCCACTGTGGGCAGTACCACTCCCCAGACGTGTAGTCCTGGACCGAACAAGAAAGCCAGCTAAGCGTGGACCTGCAAGCGAGACAGCAGCAGCATTCCTCCACGGTTTCTCCTGTGCCTTCGTGGCTGTGAGTTCCTTGGTTAAGAGAAATGCTGCGTGGAACAGCAAGTAGGCCTGGGGCTGAGTCCCTGCTTGAGTTCCTGTCCTGACTTCCCTTGGAGGCGGTCTCCTATCTCTCTGTAAGCTGATAGACCATCTCCTCCCCTAAGCTGCTTTGGGTCATGGTGTTTGTCACAGCAACAGAATGACACCAGAGCAGGAGTTAACCTATGAGATGGCAGCGTGGGACACGGGATGCAGGAAATCCAGGAGTAGAGTGCATAGGGCCGAAATGAGGTTCATCCTTAAGAAGAAAATGTACAGTATTGCAGCAGAGAGAGCATCGCTCTCATTCACACAGAAGGGACTCATTCAGTTATTGAAGCAGAAAGGATCACTTCTATTTGTACATTTAAGAAGTTAATTCCAAATGTTATTGGGAACAGTGTTAAAGTGTAGAGAGGGGTGAAAAGGGACCCAAGAAGGGACAGATGCGCGGATGTCAGTGCCACAGTTGAGAACTTACTGTATAGAAAGAACCGATAAATGGCCGTCATGATTCAGTATATAAGGAATATATGCTTAGTAAGGTCAAGATCGCGTACACCGGGGCTAACGGCAAGGATTCAGCTGGCTCTTGCAGAATGCTGGGTTCAGTATGAGGAGAGGTGCTGAAGTGGGTTCCCTCGTCAGCTTGTGTGTGGTGTCGTTCGGAACTCCTTTATAAAACTCAGTGTGCCATTGTGCGATACATTTTCCAAGTGTGGTTGGCTGTTCACTCGTATTCCAAGTAAACTAGTGTTCTCGTTCTTAAGGGGCTTTTTGTAGCACTTAAACGATAGGTGTGAATCCTATTCTGTAGGGAAGGAGCTGCTCTTGGGGGAGAAGAGGAGACGCTACAGCCAGCCTGGATGCTGCCTGACTTCCTCTGTTAACCTCAGAGTGGTGGGTTCTACCCTACCTAGCCTGTGGTGGTGCACCAAAAGTTTTCATTTGACAAGTGACTGAAGTATTGGTTCAGATCTGAGTTTCTGTTTTGAGACAGTCTTGCTGTACAGCGCAAGCTGGCTGAACTCATAATCCTCCTGCCTCCGACTTCAGGTGCCAGAACTGTGGGTCTGTACCAGCCACCCCTACTCAGTTTAGTTTGCTTTTCACAATAAAGAGCACATTTTTAGCTGGATGTGGTAACTCATGCCTGTAATCCCAGTACTTGGCAGGCTGAGGCAGAAGGATAGCCATAAGTTCAAAGTCAGCCTGGGATACATAGTGAGTTCCATACTGGTCTAAGCAACAGTATAATACTCCAAAAAAAAAAAAAGTATGTTTCTACCTGGGGAAAGGGATCATGTTTAAAAATACTTGACCCCTTTGGTGTTTGTCCGAAGGAAATTATTACTAAAATGCTTTGCTTAAAACTTTCTCTATCCCAGATTGATTTCCACACAAGATATATCCCTTAATGGATAAGCTATAACATGCACCTTGAGCAAATAATAAATTATTTATTTTAGACGATCCTATTTAAGATTACCATGCCACTTTTGTAGCATGGCCTTTGTAGTTCCTGGATGGTGTCTTCAAGGCACAAAGGGGTGGGAGCAGGAAAGGAAGAGGCACAGAGAGTCTCTTTGAGAGTCTCAGAATACCGTCAAGCCATTAGCAAACCTCTGTAAAAAATAGTCCTCACATGGTTAAAAACAATTCTAAACTGAGTAGTTTGAGGGCATCTAGACCCATTCCCATTATGAATGAGCAGGCCGAGCTCCGTGGGCCTTCCCGAGCCCTTCACACAGACCCTGGCCTTACTCTTCAACCAAGTTTCTTGTCTGTGAACTTGCTGTATCCTGAAGGTTGCGAGCCCTGGAAGACAAAGGCCATCTCTAATTGATGTTTTATTTCCAGATGTTCACGCGACATGACAACTAATGAGCACTCGGCAACAGTCATTTTAATTGATTACACGAAAGCAATGTGTTTTATTTTAAGTAATGAATAAAAAACTTTCCTTGCCCTTGCCTAAGTCACTTAACCCAGTGGGTCTCACATTTGAGCACACGGCAAAATCCTTGGAAGCCAGTGAAGCTCAGATCATCAGGACTGACCCCGGGAGTAAACCATTGCCCCAGGTGGTGATGGCCTCTTCCAGCAAGCTACCCCACCTCAGGACCCTGTGAAGGAGCCAGGGACTCTGCTGAAGACTCCACCTCCCCCCCAACTCCTGCAATGACAGTAACTTTGCTCTCTTCGGCTTTCAGGGAAAACATTGGGAGAAAGAGCTATCACGAGAGCGCCCACGAATGGACACTGCCATCTGTGGTAAGCAGGATCCTTGTGCCTTCACATCACAGGGGCCTCTCGCGACTCTCTGGGGAGTTTGGGGGACTGTGACTGCCACGCTCACCACCCAGAAAGGGATAGCGATAGTGCAGCTATTGTTATTACGGTTACTCTCACATACTTCCCATCAGATACGTCCTAAATGTATCTCCTGAGAATCTCACAAGTCTCCTGCCTTTGAAGGGAAACTGTAATTAAGTCTGATAAAATACACCAGTTTTCTGAAAACGTAGACTAAAGTTAGCAACTGTCCTAAAGAATCAAAGCGTAGAGGTTGCTTCCTCTAACCTGGTAAGTTATGGGAAACAGAATCCCCAGGTCAGGAAAATCCAGTCTGTGCATACGACGGCACAAAGAAATGTGACTAGCTGGATAGACGGAGGATGGGTACTTGTGGAACAAAAGAGAAAAAATGCTTCATGCTTTCTTTGTTTGTTTGGGGTTTTTATTTTGCTTCTGTTTTGAGGGTGGTGGCCCCTTGTATATTGAGAAATAGAAAGGAAAACTAAAAGCAGCGTATTGTTTTAAACTCTCCTTCCTTTTGCTGTTGTGGCAGTTTTACATTTTTAGATCCTTAGTTACTGCTGCGCAGGTTAGCTTTGCTTTTCTTCTCATGGGCTATTCATAACCCCAGACATTAAGGCTATACAGTAAAAAGTTAACTTATGACCCTTTGTACAGGGCAGGTTTTCAGAAATATGCCCGCTCTGGGGTTATTTTATGTCTTTAGGGGCATCATTAGGCAAAATCTGTTTCAAAACAGCTACTTCGCTGTTCCTGTTACCTACCCCTAAGGATTTGTGCTCACCAGACAGAAGCAGAGGGTCTATTTATTCGGTGGTCAGCAGGGGGCGCCCCATTCACAAACACTCGCTTTAACTTCCTGAACAAAAATCCAGCAGTTTTTGTGTACTCTAAAATCTAAGAAACACATCCCAAAATGAGGAATGAACTTTAGGAGCTAGAACATGTGACTCGCTTCCCAGCGCGCCCCTTGAACAGGAAGTGAACGGAAAAACTGCTCTTACTCTTGGTGCTTCTGTCTAACCTGGAGGAAAGGGGTGACCGTGAAGTTAACTTTCCGCTGCGGACTTAAAAGAGCACTGTAGTGTGTAAGAGTCTTGGTGTATAGCTCTAGTTAGTTTGTCCAGGTCATCTAATTGCCATAATATAAATGCGCGCTTCTAGATTAGCGTGTGTGTAAAGTGCTCCTTGAGTACTGTAATGGGTTTGTTTGCGCTGAGCAAGCTCTTTTCTCTCCTCGTCTCTTTGGAAACTGGGTGTCTGGGACCGGGTTAGCCAGATCTGAGTGTAGAAAAAGCCGTCTTGTTTCATCCTTCACTCCGAGTTTCTCTCCTTCTCCCTACCACCCTCCCATACCCTTTCTTTCACTGCCTTTCTCCCTTCCTCGTCGTCTGCCGCTGCTCTTCCCTCTGTCCAACACTGTCGTCAGATTTTTCACTGAGACCTTCTGGTCCTCAGTAATGACATGGAGATTTATTTATTAATTATGAAAACTCAGTCAATAGCTTAGGCTTGTTTCTAACTAGCTCTTATAACTTAAATTAACCCATTTCTATTGATTTACTTTCTGCTTTGTGGCTTTATTACCTCCTCTCTGCCTTGCCCATCCTGTTTGCTCAGCATCTCCCAGCATCTATGCCTTCTTCCCAGAATCCTGCCTAGCTATTGGCTGTTCAGCTTTTTATTAAACCAATCAGAGTGACACATCTTCACAGTGTACAGAAAGATTATTCCACAACACAACATTCCTCTGAACCCGTGAAGAATCACATTTTAGATGTACCTTGTCTTCAGTGAGGACTTTCATCTATGTAAGTTTTTAATTTTCACACAGAAACAATATCAAGTCTTCTTCAGGGTCCCAAAAGCACCTGTGCTCTGACTTCCCTTCATCCCCTTCACCCTCTCCTTCATTTTCTTTTTCTTTTTTTTTTCTTTGCTGTTGTTGTAAATTAAATGCCTTGTTTATGACAATGGGCCTTAATTCCCAGATTAAGTTTTATTATCACAAAGTAATGATCCAATTATGTTTCACATGATGTTTTTTAAATTCAGTATTAATTTTTAACTTTAAAAATGTTAAAATCAATTCAGTTGGTGAAAATTTAATAAGTTTGAATGTCAATTTAACTGTAACTCTTAAAGTGTGTTCTATCTACTTAATAGAAAAGCCTTCATTCAACCAAATTGCAAAATTTAAGGTGGTGCCGGAAGAGAATCTTAAACTTTGACCTGTAAAATAATGGGTGGAATTTAGATAAACTGATTACATAACTGGTTCTCTCAACGTTGGGGGAAAAAAAACTTTATTCTTCCGGTGTCTTTCATGGTACATTAAGACATTAATAAAGCTTTTCTCATGCAGTCAACATGAACGGTAAACTGGGATCTGAAGCCTAAAGCCATCAAAATAGCTGTTTATTGGACAGCTGAGGTCGTAGATCAGCTGGAAAGAGTTTCTCTGCTGTAATATTAAGGCCACCTACACATTCTCTAAGAGTCTATTGTCTTTATCATATCAACCTAAAATACTCTGGAATTGAAATAATAAAGTATGCTTGCAGTATGTTGGCCAAATAGGTTTGACTGTATGTCTAACTGTATTTTCCATATGAGCTGTGCTCCACAGTTTGTGACCTCTAGCTACACAGCTTATAGCATATGTGTACAGGAAGGAAGATCTGTTTCCATTTTCTAAGTAGAAGCAAAGCCCCATACGTGTGTGTGTGTGTGTGTGTGTGTGTGTGTATCAGTAAGCAAGGCCACACTATACATAGGAAAGCAGAACCAGAACTTAAGATATTATATTCTGATATATTCAGCCATCCTTCTATTGCAGGAGGCTGTCTCTGATCCCTAACAAGTACAAAGTGCTAGTGTTGAATCACAAAGAGTGCAGGAAATGAGTGGAGTTATTTTAGTTGTTGAAATAATGTGACTGTCACCCATTAAGGGTATATTCAATACCAGCGCAAATACATACATCTAAAAAAACAGAAGTCTCGTGAAAGCAGCAATACTTCAGATAACCTCTAGATGGAGGTAGTTCACCGCAGTGTAGAGTACCTTTCTTCAGAATTCCCAGCAGACTAAGAGCTTGAGAAATCAAATGTTAAATTACGTTTTAAAATGAACACTACAAAAATAACATACACAAAGCTAAAGTTGATTAGAAGAAATGAAGTAATGATACTTTAGGAGAAAGTGAGCAAGTGACCTTGGAGTTTATGACACAGAATAAGACAAATAATATAATATCCTAAGTCTCTAAGGACATATTATTTGAAAGGGAAAGAGCACTTCCTACAATGTTTACAATTCATGAACTTTCTTTGTCTTTTCTCTTCACTCAAGTAACTTGGAAAAAATTGCAATAAGAGCAGATTAAGAACCCAGAGACTGCATAAGTAGTGCTGATTTTTCAGAAAATATAGGAGGTATTTTTATAAAATTATAGAAAACAAAATAAGGGAGTGATAGATTCATGAAAGATGACAATAATAATTCAAAAAGTTTTATCATGTTTTAAAAAGTCCCTAATAATATGTGATGTAAAGTGTCCAAAATCCTGGAAAACATTAGGGGAAAACAGAAAGTTGAATAAAATATAAAGCTTAACCAGTAATAGTATATTAATACGGATTCATTGTAACAGTTGTTTATTAGT